AAAAAATGGAGCGTTTAAGACAACAACCAAGTAACAAAGACTCACTGGCTGGACATCGATGAAAAACCGATGTTTTTCCGGATCGGGAGGACTGATTCCCTCCACAGCTGTCCGGTAGCTGTCGTTGGCCAAGTAGAAGTGAGGGAAGGAGAGCAGAATTGGCGAATCTAGAAAATGCATATTTTCTCTGTCTGACCGAGCTAAACATTTCTTGCGATGCACCTACCATATTGACACAAGGACACGTTGAAGAAGCCAGAAGGAGCACAAGGTGGGCCTTGAGGACAGAAGCACATGTTGTCGGGATTTTCGCTTACGCTCCCGAAGACGTTTTTGGGCGGCGTGAATCTGTACCCGGGCACGTCGTTGGATCCCATGATTTCCTTGTCGAAACTGAAGCAAAAGGAAGCTCCAACATCAAGCCGAACAAGGCTTGCAGGCGCAAAAACTTACACCAGGGGCAGTTTCCTGCAAAGGTCCTTGTCGAAGATGTAAATCGTGCTGTTCTTGGTTAGGTGCGGCGGGAAAATCGAGCCATCCGAAGCCGTGATGTCGTTGCATCGGTCCTCAGTGTAGTGCGTCAGCATGGAGGCCCCATTGAACTTGTCAATTAGTCCATATTTCGTAATATCACTGGCGCCCGTGAACATTGTCACCGAGTCTTTGGAAGTGCCGTTTTTCTGGAAAAATCGTCCACTTTAGCCGCTGTTTTATCGCCTTTCCTCCAGCTACACTCACATTGTACATCAGGCCGAACTCCTCGTAGGGCAGCTTCTGCTCTTTGGGCACCACATCTTTGGCCAGCTTCAGTAGCGGGTCTTCGTAGCCCCAAAGCAGCTGCCCAACGGAAACCTCCACGAACGGTTTGATTTTCAGAATGTCCATTATGCTGGCCATGGCCAGTCTGAGGAACCGCGCCGCATGCTTAGACTGTGAGGTCGCGCTCTGGAACAATCAAACAATAGTATATTATGTACCTGCCGAGAAGTAAGTGAGACAATAGCGCCCCATACACGAGCCAAATATCTGTCATATCTGATACGTGGCGAGCCAAATTCGAAGAAATATCGGTGCGTTAATGGTTAACCACGAGCCAGATAGGACTCGATGCGAATTTCGTGCAAAATAAATCTGCAGATTTGGACTTGCGGACCAAATTTCGCCGTTAGTGGGTACGGGCGAATACTACCCAGATAGCATTTGATATTCTATGAATATCCCAGAATGTTCAAAAAATATACAGAACATTGCGGGAATATCCAGGGAATATACATAGGTGAACATTCCTAACATGAATGTTCGTGGAATATACATGCATGCATATTCATCAAAGTTCATAAAAATTATATCCTAGGTATGTACATATATGTACATATTG